CACAGATGACAGTCAAGCCCCAAAACCCCAAAACCCCGCTGTTAACGGATGGACGAAAATAAAAATTAAGTTTTGTTAAATAAAGTTAAAAGCTTTTAAGAAGCAATATATGTCTATGTTTTGAATAGTTTAATCCCAGTTTAATTAAGGGTTACGATTGCCAGATTTTTCAGTAATTGTTGAAAATTGAGTCTTAATAAAAGTAGTAAGGTATGGCTATAATCAGCACAAACTAAGTAATGCTAATTAGTATAAGTGCCTTCCTGTCATAGCAGAGGCTTTTGAAAATGCTGAATAATACTTTGACTAATTGGGGCTCATTGTAGGTCCCTGATTTGTCTTTGGAACTTTCTCTAATTTTTTCCAAAATCAAATAAATGATTCGGTAGCACCAAAATAGTTGAATAAATAGAATAAAGGCTGTGCCTACCTTGTCAGCCACTAAAATGTTGTGTCCCTCTAGCATGTAAACTAATATGCATGGAGTCACAATCATTCTTAAAAATAAGAAAGTAGTTGCGAAGATCACATCATTTACGGCATAAAGTGTTGTTTCTTTCATTCCAGAAATCTTTAATACAGTTCTTAAGATTAAAAAGGGATTTGAGATCTCAGCAGTTAAATGCAAAACTAAATGTGTATTAAGGAAGAATTTAATGGAGTTACCAATATATTCAAACCCTCCATAACGATTTATAACGTGAGTGAAGGAGGCAAGAAGTACTACTACGTGATGAGAATTAGTAAGGAAATCATCAGTACCGTAGTAGATCTCAATAATGGAATCATAAGTAAAATAAGCGAAGGAATGAACCATCAAGATCATGTGGTACAAATGATTTGGCTGATCATATCTGTAGCCACCGTAGTATAAAATTAATGGATCTATATGTAATAAAACTAAAATGAAGTAATTACCAGCAATGCAGCCTAACATGGCATGTACAAATGTTGTATATTGGAAATAATAGAAATGATAGTCGTTCATCTTTTTCTTCTCCTTAAATACTTTAATATCGCCTGGAGGAGGAGCAAACTTTCTAGCAAATGCTTACAATACAAAGTAAAATGCCAATTGAATGAAGAACAAAGCATACCAATTGTATTCATCTATTCTTGTATCATACTCATAAACTTTAGATCCTTTAAAAAGGTTGCTTAAATATCCTTCGCTTGACTCAAGCTTCATGGTTTAAAGATTATTATATGTCGATTCCATTTAAAAATTAATGATACTAATGTCTATCAAATAAAGATATTAAATAATACTATGATAAAATTGTTACAACTAAAAATTATTATATTTCAAAATCCATTTGTTAATTACTTAATCTACTGTCATTTACTACGTGAGGGGTTTTGGGGTTTTGGGGTTTTGGGG